TTTAGAATTAAATTAGTCCTCCATATTTCTTAGTTCTCTTTTCCAACTTGATGTTTAGTGCCTTTGAAGCATCATCATTGGTGATATCCATTTACATCGCCCTGGCACAGTGCTTTGTTGTGTGATTTTTGCCATTGCTGATAAATTTGTGAAAGCTTAATATTGGCTGATATATTGGTCAGGCCCTAGTACTAAACTTTCCCGTGGTCAGCTCCTTATGACATTCCTATATATCCTGGTTAAGATTTGAAAGTGCTTGCTGTTTGATGGCATAGGGCTGGGTATGAGTTAACACCTGGCCTGGTGTTGTGTGGATTTGTGTCCAGAGAGTAGGGCAAAGGGGCTAATCAGCTCTGGGGGGCTGCAAGTGTTTGTGTGTGTGTGTGTGTGTGTGTGAACGCTGGCCTGGATGATAGTCTCCGTGTCCCAGGGGAGAGATCGGAGAGCCCGTGGAAGAGTGCTGAGATTAGGCCTGCACGCATGACTGGGCACTGGAGCAATTCTCCTCCACACACACAGATACATACTCACAGACACACACACACACAGCCTCGGGAGGAGTCGCCCCAGATAAGATACACACAGCAATCATGTTGAGCTCACAGGCTTACCACAGCTTGCACACGCCTCCTTACATGTCCAACAGCTGTTCGCAAGTGTGTATGTGTGTGTGTGTGTGTGCTCTTTTTGTTGAATGCAGCACTGATAGCTACAACTGTGTGCCACTTGTTCTGTAGGTGAAATAAGCAAAGCAACAACATAGCACATTGAAAAAAGTTAGTGAGTGTAATGATTTTGAATGTAGTGTTAGAAACACTGTAGCAAAGTTTAAAACTGTAAGACCTAACATTGTGTCAAAATTTTGGCCACCAAAATGTTTCTGCCAAAAATAGTTGAAAACATTTTCACTGAAAAATAATAACAATTAACTATTCCTACAAGGAAGTGTAAAACAAGTACTTTTAATGTTATTGAACACAGAATTTAGTGATAAAAAATGCTGCACAGTGAAAACGTTGGCTGCGTGGAATTATTTAATTTTTTCTATGCAGGACATTAAATAATTTGTAGTCTCTGTTCATGCTGAGTATCAACACCCAAAAATGTCTCTACCACAGATTTGATTGCACTTGAAAACACAACACCTTGCTTGATACACAGAATAAAGCAAAACAATGCCTGCAGAAAGGAATGTCCCAACTAGCACACCAATAAGGCTAGAGAGTATGTAGGATTGTTGTCGAGTATGTGGGATTTTTTGGCACATACTGTGGCTTACATAATGTAAATTTAGTAAATTTTTGATTTTACTTATTGTCAGCTTTTTCACTTGTGTTTTTTGCCCAAATGTATCACAAGCATTGTTTTTTAATTTTTTTCCCTTTTGTCACAAGTGCAACCCTTCTTTCCAAAAAAGTTGGGACACTGTGCAAAATGTAAATAAAAACAGAATGCAATAATGTATAAATCATTTAGACTCTATATTTAATTGAAAATAGTACAAAAACTGCATATCAAATGTTGAAACTGAGAAAATTTTTTTGTTTCTTGAAAAATATGTGTCCATTTTGAATTTGATGCCAGCAACACATTTCGAAAAAGCAGGGACAGGGGCATGTTTACCACTGTGTTTTATCACCTCTTCTTTCAACAAAACTGTAAGCATTTGGGAACTGAGGAGAGCAATTGTTTTCCCATTTTTGTTCGATATAGGATTTCAGCTGCTCAACAGTTCAGGATCTACTGTGTTGAATTTTTGTTTCATAATGCAATGACAGGTCTGGACTGCAGGCAGGCCAATTTAGCACCTGGACTCTTTTCCTATGGAGCCATGCTGTTATAATACATGCAGAATGTGGTTTGGCATGGTCCTGCTGAAATAAGCAAGGCCTTTCCTTAAAAAGACATCATGGATGGCAGCATATGTTGCTCCAAAACGTGTGTATATTGCTCAGCATTAATGATGCCTTCACAGATGTGCAAGTCACCCATGCCATTTGCACTAATGCACCCTCATACCATCACAGATGCTGGCTCTTGAATTGTGCACTGATAACAAGCTGGATGGTCCCTCTCCTCTTCAGCTTGGAGGACACAGCTTCCTTGATTTCTAAGAAGAGTTTCAAATTTAGATTTTTCAAACGCACAGGACACTTTTCCACTTCGTCTCAATCCATCTTAAATGAGTTCAGGCCCAGAGAAGGCGGCAGCGTTTCTGGATGCTGTTTGTATTCGGTTTCTTCTTTGCATGAGTTTTAACTTGCATTTGTGGATGCAGCAACAAACTGTGTTTGCACACACTGGCTTTCAGAAGTGTTTCTGAACCCATGCAGTGATTGAAAAACACCAGTCTTTTGTTGCCCTGTCCCAGCCTTTTTGAAAAATGTTTCTGTCATCAAAGTTAAAATAGGCATATATTAAAAATCAGTACAATTTCAGTTTCAACATTTTATTTGTTAGTATTTTGTTACTATTTATTTATTACTATTTTCAATTAAATATAGGATTAAAATGTTTTGCACATCATTTCATATTGGTTTTTATGTACATTTTGCATCAACAGTCTCTTCTGAGTGTCACTCATTGCTGTCTTTTGTGAAAACACTGTCAATGATCAAAACTGGGTATCTGTGTGCATGCTATCTATTTCTGTATTGTTAATTTGTATTTTTTACATTGTGTCACTATTAAGAGGTGACACTGATCTGATACCAGGTATCCATACTGGGCTGATATCAGCAGTGAAATCTGGATTAGATATCAAATTGAACAAAAAATGAACTGGATCTAGTCCTGTAGCAAATCTATTCTGAAATATCACACATTCACACTGTATGATGTGTTGTTAGCTGTGTATTTCTTCTTGTGGGGTAGTAGAGTGTTTGAGCACGAGTGAAGTGCTTCAATAAAAAAAACTCATTTTCAAAACTTAGGGGTGGACAATATAATGATATTTTATCATTATTGTGATCATTTTTGTTATTGTGATAAATGATATGGACTTCTGAGCACATTGTGGATTTTGTCAGCACTTAAAGAATTCTGACCAACTGCATGTTTCATTACGAAGAGAGCATAATTAGTCCAATTTAGTGCAGCAAAATCTAAGAAATATTGGATAATAATCATTGTATTCATGGTTTTTGAAAGCAGTTTTTAATGGAACACTACTGGCATATTTTATCTGCCAAAATATCATGATACGTATCATGTATCACAAAATACTTTTTTTCCATATCGTCCACCCCCCGATAGGTAACAGCCGATACTCAAGATTTCAAAATCTGTATCAGCATCAGAAAAGAAAAAGTAGTATCAGGCTGTCTCTAATTACTGTAAGGACATGCTTGCAGTCGTTTGGTTGAAATATAGTTTGTATTTCTCTGAGCCAAATTGTGTAGTATATATGATATGTAATTAGATTTTCATGACATTTTTGGTACAAAATATCAGAATTGAATCTTGTATCATACCTGAAAATACATGTACCATTACAGCCCTTTTAGTGAGAAGAGTAAGCAAGAGTGTGTTTTTGTTTTTGTGCGCTTCTTAATCATTTTTCTTGTAAGTAAAATAAGCAAACGTAGCACTACCTATCTAGTGAGGGGGAGATGAGTGTGAGAGAGACACTGGCAAAAAGAAAGAAAGAGAGAGGACAATATTCTTTAGTTTCAGTACAATATGGCACAAAAAGCAGACACTGACACTTTGTTTGCTGTGCAAATCTTGTTTATTTTTTATTATCTGCTCTTGTTGTTAAAGTATATGTATCTTTCATCACTGCTCTTTCATTCAGTGAAAGAAGATGAGATGCTATCAGCAAAAAAAAAAGAAAAAAGTAGGGAAAGGGAAGGATTATTTGCAGTCTGGCTTGCATTGGCATTTACAATCAGTAATCAGGCATCTAATGGGCTGGGGGGAGCAGCTGGGGCTGTGTGATAGAAGCAGGGCGGTTATCGATGCCCTGACAGGTGCATGCTGGGTAATAACTGCCGCTGTATCACAGCCCTGGTGCCCTGGGGTGCCATAACGACACACTTGCTCGTTTCCATGACCCTTGGGCCTGTCGACAACCCTAATGCACATTTCACAGCCAGATCTCTCACTCTCTCTCTCTCTCTCTCTCTTTTTTTTCCCCATGTCTATGTCAATCTCTCTCTACCTCATCTTTCATTGTTTCACTCTCCCCGTAGCTCCATCAGGGCCACATTAGCAGGGGAAAACACAAGCTAACCTCTTTGCACCGTGAAATGCCGAAAATCTGATCCCAATTCATGCACAATTATGTCAGCTGGAATCTAGCATTACAAGCGGAGCTTATCTGTAGATAGCACATGGAGCGCTAAGCCCGGCGGATCCGAGGGATGGGGTTGATCTGGGCGATAGCTGCATGCTAGTATGTAATTGGACTAAAGAGTGCGGCGGGGATTATTTTTAATACTTTGAAAAACTGTGACTGAAAACTTGTTCCGGGGCTATTGAGCTTGTGATTTGCTACGCGTGTCCTCAGGTACCGAGCCTTTTTTTTCCCTCCATCCCTAAGTGCTGAGAAGAGGGGAGAGAGGGAGGGGAAGAAAAGTTTGTGCCGCTCTGAGTTCTTTTCTTTTTCTTTTCTTCTTTGTGCCTCTGAAAGATGAAAAGCTTCATGCTGTAAAAGATGCTTTTGACTGTTTTTGCCTCCCCTTTTTTCCCCCTCCCTTATTTTTTTTTTTTGGTAAATGCTCCCAGGAACTGCATTTTAATCATGTTTGGCTAATAGAGAAAGAAACATAAAAAATGAAAAGATAAAGAAGAACCCTCACAGACTCATGGCATTGTCTTGCTATACAAAAAAGCCTATTTTTTTTGTCTTTGCCAAATCCATCAGATCGATTTTTCATCCTTTGCTTTCTCTCATGGTCCCTCAAGATCATTCAGTTCCCTTCAATGTTTTTTTTTTTTGGTCTTAACTCTTTATAACCCTGCTTTTAAAAAGATCTCAATTTATTCTGGTCCATAAGGTGCCAGGCTCTGTCCCCTCCCATGATGGACGGCTGCCCGAAAGCCATATCCTTGAGGATATTTTGGCTTCCTGGCACTTTGAGTGGATTCGCGTGATGGTGGTAAGTGTGGCCCGTTTGTCCAGTGTCTGGCTTCTGTGTTTCATCTGTCCCACCACGCAGGGCTCTGTGTCGCCTTGTCCTGCCGCCGTCCTTTTTCACTCTGTCTTCAGTCGTCACTAGTCTACCCACTCTGTTTTTGGAGGAATTAGCCTGGCAGTATCAGGTGTTAGCATGGCTAACGTCAACATAGGCCCTAGCACGATGAACTCTTTCACAGCACAAAGCAAAGTAAAATTCTGCTGAGTAGACACAGTTTGACCTTCATGCCTTGTTGTAGTTGCCTCTAAATAGTGGTGGTTCTTTGGTCAGCAGGCCTGATAACAGCAGAATGCAAGAAATTAGCATTTCCTCAATCCCTTCACTCTTTTTGAAGTTGGATCTAGCAGCCTTGCTACAGAGGAACGTGTTTCCCTCTGTCTTTTGTTCCCCATCTCTCTGTGTTTCACATGAGTCTTTGTAACTTTTCTGGAGTCCCGCGGGACATTAATAGCATGCCTTCTTAACTGTATGTGTCTGAATCGCATAGCATCCAGGTTGTACAGGGCCATTTGTGTTTGCACTGTCACTAACCTCTCTACGGAAAGCCACTGTGAGCTGATTTAATGGCAGCCAGTGGAGAACTTGGCTGACTGACAGTCACTTCACGACCCCATCACCACCAAGGAGCAAATCTGTAGCTTAACTCGCAACAAAAAAGGAGCGCATGTATGCCAAACAGGCAAGGATGCCAGCTTACTAGGACCCTTTTAACTGGAGTTATGAATGAATTATGAGAGTGGATCCTTGATGTTTGTCTTCAAGAGGGAGGAATGCCATTGCCGTTTCTGTCATTTTTAGCGGTGTACCTTAAAACTTAAAATGTAGAATTTCCACATTCACGCTCTCCGAATATCAGCTCGGCGCATTAATGTGTAATGAAGAAGCTGGTGACATTTTAGAAAGCATGTTAGAAATACAGAACATTTTGTTAATGTAGCAAGAAGATGTAGGTAACACAGATTTCTCTGCCGTGGAAATCCTGTCACAAGCAGAGTCTTTTCTCTTGTTAGAGTGTCTATATTGGAGGTTCTGTTGGTGGCCAGTGGCATGATGGCTGTTTGTCTATGACGGCCTTGTTTTTTTTTGGAGATGGAGAGGCTAGGAGCGAATCCGGGGCAGTGTCGGATGAAACTAATTGCGCCCCATTCATCATCAGGTGGCACCTTGGGACCCAGAGAGGACGGGGCAAGGAGAGCAGGCGTAGCAGGGTGAGGAGGGGGGGTCGAGGGGCATCGGCAGCGGGTCGGAGGAGGCCTGGAGGGGTGGCCGGGGTTGGAAGAGGCGGGGAAACGAGGGCAGCGTTCGGCCCGACCTTGAGGCTGATGGAGTGGGTTGCCCGCTGGGCGTGGACGCCTGGGGAGTAATGGCGAAGGTGAACCCAGCTCTCCGGCGGCCCCATTAGAGCCTAATGCTGTTGTTTTAGTGGGGGAGCGGTGGGAAGCAGAGGTCGGGCCCAAAATAAACCCCGTCCTCACTCCTCGTCTCTCTTCCTGATGCGTGTTTACGCCGCTATTTATCCGAGCATCGCAGCGACGGGCGCAGCGGGACAGAGGAGCGTGGATGGAATGATTCTACAGAGCCGTTGTTTGCTATAAGCTCACGTGCTGCTGCTGCCACTTGACTTTGGCTTTGTCTGGGGCTCGGCAGGCTGAGATTACACTCTTAAAAATAAAGGGTTCTTGGGCAGCCATGCCATTGAAGAACCACTTTTGGTTCCCTTAAAGAACTTTTTAGTGGATTATATTTCTGTTGTTTGGTCTGGGACTAATATGAATTCCACTCTTAAAAATAAAGGTGCCACAGGAGTAAATGCTGTAGGACCCTAGTACTGGATGGTTCTTTAAAGACCCTATTTTGTAAATGAGATCTAAGTGTGAAGAAACTTGGTACAATGTAAAGAGCTTTCACACAGTCTACATAAATTAAAACTTCTCTATAACCATACATAATCCAAGAACCATCTAAGGACTTTTATTTTCAAGAAGGTAGGACTCTAAACGCTTCACCAATGGACCATATATCCAAACACAGATATATATATATATATATATTTCCCCTGTTCACCCAAGGATTACTTGGGTGGGTTGGTGGGGGGGTAAATAATTTATTAAAAATGCCTGCTTCAAAACGAAACATCTGCCTCTTTCATGTTGTGCTGGCGAGGTGCCAAAAGCACACAGAGATATCTATTGCTAGTTACTATTTCAGCCTAATAGCAACTGCACCTCCAGCCGAGATGGAGACCCTTGATACCTCGTCTAATGTGGGAATGGAAAATGACTGAGTGGTCCTAGTTTGTGCAGTTTAAAGTGTCTACTGCATTCAGTCATTTTATTGGTTTTGTTATGTGTATAATCGCAGTTTTGCTTTAAACATATACTGAGAAGCGGGATCTCCGTGTATGGAAACTTAGTTGCAGCCACACTTTCTGAACAAGCATCTTAGTGTTTGTCACTTCCTGATATGTCCCCCATTGGAGCACCTGCTTTAGACATTAAAATGCCTCCATCACGGCTGTTATCTTGGGAATATTCTACTTGAATTGTAAAATACCTAAGTTGAGGGTCTTTAGTATAATCTCCATTTGGAATCAAATGAGCAGAGTTCAGTTCTTCTCCAGAAACGTTTTTTTAGTAGGTGGCATATATGATAGGTGGTGAACTGCAGTCCTGGGGGTCCAGTGTCCAGTATAGTTAGGTGACTTTGCTGCTTCTAACACTCCAACTAAACCAATTAACTGCACAGTTAAATCATGGAACCACCCCTGACTCATACAGTATTTTTTTCAATAAAGCCCATATGCTATGTATTATTTGATTGCACAATATGTTTTACTTTGTAAAGTTTTTAGAGAAAAAACACTAAAATATAATTTGCAGAATCCGAAAAAAAAAATAAAATTGCGCTTTATCCGCGTGTCTTAAAAGGCTATATTCATGAACATAGCAACAAATTGCAGCTATTGTAAATTAGCAATAATGTTTCAGTAACTCGGCAGTAAAAAGCATACAAATACAGGTGTTTGACTTATACCACAAATCTCAACTCTCACAAATGAGAATTATCCATTTAAGGAAGACTAAATAGTTCTTAGCCTTTTCCTTTGAACTGAGAATCTGTGAAAGAAACTGTGACCAAATTTATGTTGAGCTTTTGCACTTCAACTAATAATTCATAGTTTTTTGGGGGGGGTGGCTTGTACCATGGATTCCTTTATGTAAATAATTTTGGCACACAGTATTTAGGATAGCAGTTATTGGGATCATGTGAGCAGTCGGGGGACTTCCCATTAGTATGAGTCTGACACACACCTCAGATCTAATTATACTGCAGTTTTAATTAACCTCCCAAAGTGCTCCTACACAAAGATTTCATTGACAAGCCTTTCCCTGTACATCTCTTCCCCCTATTCCATTCATAATGAATCAAGTGCTAATGAACTACTTTTGGAAAATTAATATACTCATCCAATTTTAAAGAAGTTGGTTTTCCTTTTCATGTCTTCCCGATAAGAGGTGGGCCTGTGGCGTGCTGTGGGGACTTGTCTTGGCTTTATTTGCCATTGGAAGTGTGCAGCTCCACTCCTTTTGCTCTCCTCTGGGACAGAGCTCTCTGCTTCCAAGCGTCTGGGTCAGCGCGCCTTTGGCTTGAAATGAGAGAAGACTTTTCTAGACGCGCAAATAATACCTGTATCCAGGGAGCAGCTCGGCCTGGGTGAAATTATTTCATTTTCATCTTGATCTCTTATCTTATCAGCTCCTTTGTTTCCCTCACCTTTGGTGCTGGGTAGATCAAAGAAGCGTGTTTTCTCTCTCCCTCGAACAAGCAGCGCAAGGGTCGTGGGTGTGGATTAGCTCCAGTTGGGGGTCTGTCCTCTTGTATTGCAGCTTGGGCTTTGGTGTAAATGAAGTTTGGCACCCCTGGGACACCGTATACCCCTCCACCCCCTTGCCATCACTAACAAACAAGCTATGCCCCCTTCGAAGTGCCCAACCAAGGCCATGCCAATCTCATCAAGACCACCCACCTCCCCTGCTGGGTGCCCATTGTGAGCAAGCCTGGGGACCTCCTGGAGGGATGGAGAAGTGTGAATAGCCTGATGCTAGTCTCTAGCTGCGATGGATGTGCCTGTGCTTGCCATTATATGGTGCTAGCGCTACTAGCCCTAAGGAGACTGGTAATGGGAAAGCATTGGGTGGTTCAGGACAGATGTGTTTGTCTTTCACACTGCTTAATTACTGACACCACTGGTACCCGATTTCTGAGGCTAAAATACAGTACGCACTGCTGAAGGCTGGCTCAAATGACTCCCATTTATTTGTTAGCTATAAGTGGAAAAATGCAAGATAAATGAATAATGCCTAGAAAAATTAATTTCCATTGTTTGCTAGGTGGACTAGGGCTAAAATCATGAAGTCGGTCATGTTCATGTACATTTACAAGGATGGCAAAAAAGCGTTATTTGGAGCGATGCTAGAGAAGAACCACTTTTGAAGAACTTTTCACGGAATGTTTTTTTAAAAGTTACATACCTATTAAATAATATTGTAAAACTAGTCTACATTAAAAAAAAAAAACTTTCACTCTAAAGGACAAAACTGAAGTGCTGAATGGCTTAAATGCCTGAATAAAGGAAAGAGGCAAAACAGCTTGAAAGTCTGTGGTTTAAATAGTACAAATGATAGTTAGCTAGCACAATAACTATTCCAGCTGAAGATCTATTAAGTTTTAAAGGAATGGGATCTGTAGTTTACTAAAACTTCACTTAGATTAGCTGACAGCTATAATAGCTAGCTAGCATACTTGCTACCCAAACTACATGCTGGCCAAGTATTCCAAGTTGTTTTGCCTCTTTTCCTTAAAAATCACATTTACTGCACATAGTGCTTCGTTTTCCATCAGACTGAAGGTTTTTCTATGATGAAATGCTTGTTGTTTGAAACTGTATCAGTGGTGAGACTGCTGCAAGCTGCAGGAGAACGGCATTTCAGTAATTGCGCATGACCGTAGCACCTATAAGGTTGGATTGGAAACAAAAGTTTTTTATTAATTGAACACATTAAGGTTACTGATCCTAATTTATTCAGTTTTGTTCATGTTTTTTTCTCAGGCTGAAATCTCATGAGTTGTAAGTCTAAGTCCGAGTCCAGTTGTAGGTCAACCAACGCACTCAAGTGCGACTGGAGTCTGAGCTGCTGACTTGAGTCCCCATAAGAAACTTGTCCTTTGAAACGTTTAGGACAACCACATTAATACTTTTTCATAACGTAACTGTGGATTCTCAGTCCAGCTCAAAAACAATTCAGCTTTCAATAAAAATTAGCTTTATGAGCCAGCATCTACTGTGTATGACCGTACCGCCCAGCATGTCTCTGTGTGTGTCCAAGTAGGTTGCTAAGGTAATGGAATGGCCATATGTAGCATCAGCAGTCTTCAGCCCCAGCAGGCTCCAACAGCGGAGGTCCATCAAAGGGCCTGAGGGAAGCAGCTGGTGGGCCCTCTGCAGCAGGTTGCTCAAGCACACACACTTGTATTTGTGTGTGTGTGTTTGTGTGTGTGTGTGTGAGAGCTGTGTGGAGGAGCAGTGAAAACAAGCCTCTCTCCAGGCCAGTATTATTCCAACCTCCTGCCTCCTTCAGTCCACTTTTGAAGGCAGGAAATCAGAGTTAGCTCATGGTTCGAGGGCCATGTGGCAATGGTTTAGACTGGGGAGACCCGTGACCCGCACCTCTACACGCACACACACACAGTGTCCCTCAAACCCCTCTTCTCCAACGCTGACCCTAATACAATGGTGCATGTGGGGCGCTTTTGTTTCAATCGATAACATGAACCAGATGGGGATGAGGAGAAGGGAGGAAAGAAGGGAGTCTTGTAAAATATTTGCAAAGAAAAAATAACCCTGGGACAGTGTCTAATTATATCTATTTGTCTTGTGTGGGTTTTCGGGGAGGCAGTGTGGCTTTGCAGGCCATATTTGGGGTCATTTTTCAAATGTGGGATCCAGAAGGATGAAGTAGGAGGGGGTCTAGGATGAGAGACTGTGTGCGTGTGAATGTGTATGAGTATGTGTGCGAAGGGAGGGGCATGGACAGATTTCAATCTTTTAGGCCCCATACGCAGAATCTCAATCTAGTAAGACGAGCGTATTTCTTCATTTCTGGGACATGAGAGGAAAAATGCCAGCCGTTCCCATTCAAACCTCCCTGGCAGCAGCGGATGCGCGCCTTCTTATAGACTTCATTTTGGAATACTTGTACACATAATGCGAGTGTGAAATATATGCTAATCCCTGCATGATATAACATCAATGCAATTGCATTAATTTCCGCCATAAAACTCTCTAACAGACACTGCACGACGCACAGAACCAAAAAAAGTACAAAAAAAAAAATTCTTACGTAACCTTGTCTGTATGGAAATACCACCCCCCCCTTTTGTCTCTGCCCTGATTTGCACAGCGGCGTTTGATCCCAAGGCTCAAGGCTCTGGCCGGTTCTGAGAGGGCATTATCCACTATGACAGTGACATTTCAATTGATCTTCATGAAAAGCATGAACGCGGCCTCTGTAGTGGTGCCAGGCTGGGGCAGAGCAGGGCTGGGGATGGCCCGGCTACTTCTGTGGGACGGACCTGGTTCCTGGCCACAAAGAGCGCTAGAGCTCCTTGCTACAGCAGAGAGAACAGCGTGGCACTGCTCTCCTGCTGGGCTCATTGTACTGGGGGTTTCTTGTATTTTTTAAGTCCTGCCAGTTGGTTCATTGAGAGGCATGGTCAGTGTGAATAGGGGGAGACAGAGAAAAGGTGGTTTCACCCTGATGTCCAAAGGCTAGGCTTGGATATTCTTCCTTTTGAGGTTTGGAAAAAACAGAATGTTGAGAGTTAAGGACAGTACAGGCATATGCAGAAGTTAGTACAAAAATTTACTACATAAAAATTTTAGCTGGCATGCAGTGCTCATTCCTTAGTGGCGCAATAGGGATTGGCCCTATCATTGGGAGAACAAGAGTTCAGTCCCTGGCAATGCCACAGCCATCCATGGCCAGGAGTCTAAGAGAAAATAATTGGTGGGTAACATGGACCTCTCTCTCCCTCCATCACTCAGCGTGAAGCTAGCCAATGCGGGTGTCTGTTAGTGTTTCACGAATGTGTTGAGCTGTCCAACTATGTTGTATTATCGTCAATTTGAAAAGATGCAGTGGCACTTTACGGCTTAGAGGAAGCACGTGCTAGCCTTCACCATTCTGGGTGTTTGGCGTTGGGTGGAATGGACAATCACTAACTTGGGTCATATGATATGGTTTTGGCAAAAATAAGATTTTATTGCCATTATCATGTACTGTGTGGACTTGAAAGTATGTTATCACAGAGGACTCTCTGTGACTCTTGAAGGACTACTTCACTGAAGAACCAAATGTTATTTTGTTCAAATAATTTTGCAAAATCAGTGTAGCCTTAGACAGATAAAATAGTTTCATATAGCTGGCAAGTTATATTCTGTGTGTGTTTCTGAGTGTCCCAGCATGTCCACCCAGTAAAACAGCCTTTGTGTCTGTGTCCTCTCAATCACTGCATTCTGTTGAGCCTTCTCATGTCAGCCCAAGTGTTGCATGACCATTCTTCTTCTTCTCTGGTGAAAACCAGGATTTCGACTGGGGAAAATTGTGGCGAGGGCATAAAATGGGGACTTCTCAACCATCAAAAGTTGAAACAGTTAGGATTCTCATGTTTGATCTTCATGTAATGATGTTGATGATAATGATGGTGACCACCATGATCTCATCGAAAGTTAAAGTTAATGGTCCAGCACAGCTTGCCCTGTCTAAAGACAAGGGTTGAGCGAAATTGATGCATCTATACAATATACCATTGAAATGCTGGTGTATTGTACATGATCTTCGTTGAACAAAAATAAGCTTCCAGTTTTAAATATGGTTATTGCTTCATGGAGAACTTGGAGTAGGTGGGGGGAGAAACAGAGGGAGAGAGAGCTTTCCAAGTCTTTGAAGCTCTTTATGCTCTTTTAGTTCTTAAGGTTTTAAGAAAATGCATGTGCCCAGCCTTTCTCTCTCTCTCCCTCTTTCTCTCTCTCTCCCTCTCCCTCTTAGGACTCAGAGAAAAAGGGTTTCATGAACAAGCTGTATGCCATTCAAGATGTGTGTATCAGTGTGCAGAGTGCACTGGATGAAGTGGCCTCCTACAGCGAGAGGATAAAGAAGTGAGACACTGTGGCTGGTTGGGCACGCGGGCACCACACACACACACACACACACACATATTCTTTCTGAACAGTTTTGAAAACCCACAGCATAACCTTGTTTGTCGAGACAAAGCAGTATGTTTAAGTCTGCACACATTGTAAGATCCAATGAGCAGATCAGCTTTGTGCCATAGTTTTGGTCTTTGTATTTAACGTACATTGTGTATATTTTAACAGTAATATACTGTGTAAGAGACAAATGCAAATGTATTGAAGGAACTGACTGCGTTCTTCTATGTCTCTCCCCAGCACTTTCAACTGGACCGTGCCTTTTCTCAGCTGGCTGGCCATAGTGGCACTCTGTGTAGCCATTGTTATAGTTTACTTCATTCCCCTCAGATACATCGTCCTGGCCTGGGGTAAGCAATAAATGTCTATGAAGATCATCCTTAATAAATACAACTAACTATATAACACACTATGTAATGATATTACCTAGTAACCCTTAGAAGTTATAGTTACTATAGTAACTGATGATAACAAAAACTGCTTTTATTTTATATTCATTTTGTGAGTTCAGATCATGCCTTCAACTTTTGGTTGTAGTATGAGAAGAGACTGTATGTCTGTAGGAGGGGAAATAACTCTAAGAACTTGTGCAGGAGTTGTGGACGACTTCTGCTTTGAGCTAGAATGCAGAACCCCCCTTTTGATGAGCAGAGGTAATACTGAGAGGGGAGGTTGGTAAGGTATGACGTTAGATCGGAAGGAGTTTTAGGCAGTGGTTATCCTCACAAACCTAGATTATTTCATTACTCTTTTAGTTCTCGTTCGTAGATGATTGAAATAATTTGAAATTCTGTTGAAAGTGCAGATTCTAAACATTCTGTCAATGCCACGTTTGTGTTTGTAGTAGAAGAAGAGATATTTTTATTATGAATAAAATTTGATACAAAGTTATTATGCAACAGTCTTATCTAAGACCTAAGTACATATAATTGTGTAACTTTTATATATGTACATAGTGTAGCAAAACAAAAGTAATAACACTCAACTTCTAAGGGTTATATATCAAATGCACTGTGAAAGATGAAGACGAATGGAGAATTTTACTTTCACTACAGTTGCAGATGAACTATGTCAGCTGTGTTCCATCAGCTGCAGGCTGTTGCCACCAACACAGCATGGGGGCCGCTCGAGTGCTGGGCTCGAGGCAAACACAGCCTCACAGCTAATGGCCTGGCTGCTCCTTTGTTCGCTGTTGCAGGCTTGAGCAGCAGCTCTCAAAGGCCAGAGAGCAGTGCTCTTGTGGGCCTAATGGCAGCCGATCTTTACTTAGAAAAAGATGAGGCTTCAGAGAGGCTTTTGATGCTGTGCTGCTGGAGAGGCAGCCCAGGCTCTTTTGATACACTGCTGAAGTGCACTTGTTCCTCCTCAATGAGGTGTAATGGCGCCCTGTCGGCCCAACTTTCAGGGGTGAACAAATTCACGAAGAAGCTGCGAGACCCGTACACCATTGACAACAACGAACTGCTGGACTTCCTCTCCAGAGTGCCCTCCGACGTGCAAGTGGTAGGTGCACCTCCGTCTCTTCATTCCAACCCCTCCATCCGTCCATCTGTCTGTACATCTACCTATCCGCCTCAGAGTAGGCTCAAGTGCAGTACTCATACAATCTATAATTACCCAACACACACTTTACCATGAGTGTGATGGAGTGGCCAGTCACTTTTCACCCCATCTTTCCCTGCAACAACTGTTTTTATCCCTGTTTTTGGTCAACTATTGAAGCAAATTTTCATTCCTGGGGGTCAGCTTCACAGCATACTTTTTCCCCTGTGCTACAGATGAGCCTTATACTTTTCCTGAGTGGGTCTCAGAGTGTGTTTTGGAGAGTTCCAGGGAGTTTTCAGCCTCAGCTCTGTTTTTTTCCTGTGTTCTTTAATTTATGCCTTTCTCTCGTGCTGATCTGCATAAATGCAGAATCAGGGAATTCTATTCTTATCATCACAGACAGTGTTGTGACTCATTACAATGCACAGAGTTTGAGATGTAGACTTCTTATACCAACAGACTCTGTCTTAAACTTTTACATCGTTAAGTACCACTTTTTTGCCTGTTAAACTTCATGCCAAATGAATATTCTATTGTTTAAATCTAATTATATAATGCCATGTGGATTAGGCTTAATGAGGTATGTGATCCTTGAGTTTCGGCCATCCAGAACTGATATAAATTACGTGTAATCTGTGAAATCTGCACCAGACGCTATGCACATATTTATGGACTTCTCGCTGTGTAGTAACTCTCTATGCTCTGTTATTGTAAGTCATTAGAGTGAAGCAGTAATCCTCTCCCACTCTGCCTGTACATTAAGCGTGAGATCAGTGTTGTGCAGTGTGAGCCGCCGTCCCCTCCATAAACACCGGTGTTTCTGTGCAAGCTGCAAGGTGCCGCTGTTTAACTGCAATTAAAGCCTGTGCTCGTAAACGCAGCCCCTGCTTGTTATCCGGCTTCCTCTGTGCCAGCTAAGCCCCCGTGGTGCTGACTGCTGGGGCGTCGTGGGGCTCTGATCCGGGACCAGTGGCTTTGCCACATCAGTGCCGACACGCTTGCCTTTGATGGACCCTGAACAGCGGGCCGCCTTTTGATCTTTACAGGGTCGTAATCCTTGGCCCCCGCCTGGCTTTTCCTGCAGCCTGCGCAGCCGCAGTTAACCTGGCCCAAATCGGCCCAAATGAGAGTTGGGTGGCTAGCTAAACAGTTGCTTCTAACTCAAGCACCTGGAGCCCAGAAGGTGCTGGCAGGTAGGAAGGCCAGGAGGAGGCACTAACTAATGAGGAATGGTCAATATGGGCCTCAAAGGAATTAACCATCGTGGCCAAGGGTGTTACATTCTTGTTGGATGTACAGTGCTAAACTTTAATTGGTATAGAACCTTTACATTATGTGTCTTTTAAAAAAGGTTCTTCATACTCACATCTCATTTACCATAATGATTCTTTAAAGAACCTTTTAAACTTCCTAGAACCAAAAGTAGTTCTTCCATCAATGGTGTCACTCCAAAGAAACCTTTTGGCACCTTTATTTTAGAAGTCTAGCTTTGAATAGCTGTCTGTAAAGGGCACATACTAGTATCTAGGCAAGCAGACATTATTCTGATCATCAGTTTACAACTGGGTCAAAAATTGGGCCCCAGGATTTTCAATAGCTGTAACTAGCAGTGGGCAATATAACAAAAATATAATACCAGAATAATTGCAGACATTTTCACAACACATATCAAAATATTTTGCTGAGGTTTCTGAGGTTTGACACAATGTTCCAGTACTGCCAATTATAAAAAGACTATTAAAATGTATGAGTGCAGTGATTTTTTATTTTTATATAGTATTCAGTGTTTCATATACTGCAGTACATCCAACTAAGCATGGTAAATAATGCTGTTTTGGACACCCAGCATGGTCAAGGTTAAATGTGCAATCTCTTGAAAATAGGATGAAACCTTAGACCACGTAGGGTCCCCTCCAAGATCATTGGAGGCCCTCTCCAAGATCATTTATCCTGATAGTGATGTCATATTATCACCCACCCTTAGCTTCAACAATTACATGTGCATAAATGAAATACTTTTGTAAGTAGGGCATATTTGCAAGAATCTATAGAATTACATTTCAAAGGTTACAAGCAGCCACATCTAGCTTTGGCTCAAATGAGCAATGGGTGGCTTTCTCTGTAGGTTCTTCTAACCTCAGCACCTGGAGCCCAGAAGGTCCCAGCAGGTAGGAAGGCCTGAAGGAGGCACTGGCTAATGAGGCAGGGTCAGAATGAGCCTCAGAGGACTTAACCACCGTGGCCAGGGGTAGTAATCTGCGCCAGGTTGTCATACCTCGATTTCAGGCCATTTCAGAAAAAAGTTGCCTCTTGCCATATATGACGCTTGGAGGGTGTGCAGTGTGATGCTGCATGAGTCAGGAACGTTCCGCTCTGCATCGCTCTGCGCAGGTCCCTTCACCTCACCTCTGTTTTCTGGGTTACAGACGCCCAAGGGGGACAGCGCTCACCTCTGCTGAGGGACGTCAGAGACTCAAATGAAGCGTCCCCGCATCAGGGTGTGTCCCGCGGGCGCCCATGGGCCCGAGTGTTCTGTGTAGATGACAAATGAAGTGCTATTTTTGAGGCCCCTGCATGACCCAAACCTCCCACGCTGTCCCCCGATGACAGCCCTGCAGGGCTGAGAGGGGCCACTGCCTCTTTACAGATCATTTGGAGGTGCCTGAGAACAAGCAGAACTGATGAGCTTCTAATGACTCTTTATATAAAGGGCATCCATATTGCAGTCCATCAGTACATGGTGTCTTTGTAGGAATATAGAATTCCCTCAGCCTCCATTTGTGCCAGTGCGTATCCTGCATTTGCCCCCTGTTGAAAAAGCTTAAGCTTAAACTATACAGCTATAGCAGTCCTGCAGAGAATGCATGTTGGATGTGTACTTCCATGAGAGCTCTAGGGATACAAATGTGTTTCAGGGTTAATGTAAATTTGGCCTACGCTGAGTTGCAGGGCCTTTCTGCTGCACTGCTGGAATCCTGCAATGCACAGAACCTGCTGTGCGTTAGCTACCTGTTAAGTATACTTTTTTATTTTATACATTTTCTTTTGATTCAATATGCCTGGTGCCCTCAGAGACTAGCTTTACCTTGTACATATGCCCCGTGGTTGAGCGGTTTTGATTTCATGCCTGAGTAAGCTAGCTCCCTGATCCAAGGGAATCTTTTATGTCCCTTAAATGAGGGCAGCTTCTGTTGCAGACTTAAGTATTCTCAACCTCGTACCTGGAGACGTGTCCCATCACTAGAATGCTTTATGATGCCATTAGCCATCGGAGGCGGGGAAATGCGAAGTGGGACGCTAGCAATTAGCACGCGGAGGGCTCCATTACAGCCTGTGCAAATGAAAAGATTAAAATGCAGCCACGCAGCCGCACAAAACGACTCAGCGCTAAACCGATTCATCACCTGAGAAGGATCTGCAGCAGCGGGGGAAGAAGCACTATTTCTTGGGGGGAAAAAACACAGATAAAGAGGTCTGAGAATGTCCCGTGGCTTCGGTCCGGGCGTTCAAACTACTGCTAGCTATTGGCGCATATCAAAGCCTCCACTGTGCAGCGCCAGGGCTTTCTGTTTAGAGTTTAAACAGGCAATTAGCGCACATCCAAAAAGCTGACGAAACTTAGCTGGAGAACTTTTCCTCCGCGCCTCCTTTTCTCCCCCTTCAGCCTCGCCTGCCTTCACCTCGACACGCTTCTTCTTCCTCTCGACAATAGACGAGAAAAGCAAAGATTCTCTCGTCTGTGGGCGTCTGTATGACTCTCTTTTTTCAGGAGAGCGTTTAATACCCCTAATGCTAGGTTAGGTGTCACAGGAGATGAAGCGAATAAGTTTTTTTCTTTGCCCCCCTCCCCCTCCGCTTCCTCCTGTATAAACAGCATAGCATAGTATCATTAAAAATGTTCGCCTTTTACTTATTTATATTTGCCTGCCGCCCTTGTGGCTTCAAACCCTCGATCCCTGCTCAGCGGCGGGACGACAGCGCGCGCTCCCGGGACGGCGCGTGACACCGCTAAATGCGACGCACGCGCAGCACAGGCCCACGCGGCGCCCTCGTATACTCGCGCGCACTTCAAAGCACGTTTTTTTTTGTGCTCTTGTAGTGCCGTACTGTCAGCGCCAGGGAGAAGGAGCGAGGGTGGAGCAGCCTTTGAGCGGCTCGAGGTCTTTACCCACCGTCTCTCGCGCATGTTTGCTTTGTGCCAGCCACTTTCTCCAAATTGCTATCTCATAGTCATTTTTTCACCCCTCCCCTTCTTCCTCCCCTCCTCCTCCCCGAAACTTCCTTTTCTTCCCAGTCTATTATTCTCTCCCCTTTATTTTAGTCTTTGCTTTAGCTTTGCTCTGCGTTCTCTCTTCGGTGGGACAGCTCTCCATCATTAAAAAGGGGGCTGAGTGCACGCTGCTCCACTTAAAGATGGCAGAACTGTCACCCGTTCACTGTAATGGAACCTGTAACGTGTAAAAGCGTCTCTGCGGCAGTCCGCTTCTGAAAGGTTTCTTTTGAGTGAGCTTTTATTGTTGTCGGGTTTGTTTGTTTGTTTTTTTTTCTTTTGCTTTTCACCCACTTCTTTTCTTCCATTAGATTCACGATACGTTGATCCGTATCTCGTCACTTTGACATGCAAAGTTTTGTTTACGCTTAGTTCAGAAAGGTTTCCAAAGTCAGCCATGACTTTGACATTCGAGGTTAAAATTCAAAAATAATGACCCTATTAGGCTCCTCCATACAGGGAACAGCGCTTTGTATAAAGGGCACGTACAGCTATCTGAGAAAGCCTGCACTATTCTGGTCATCATCTCCATCCCTAATTTACTCTAGTTCAAAAGTGGGTCAAATGTTAGGGGCTCTGTATTTTCAATAACTAACAGTTACTAGCTCATTTGGGCTGCTTCTTACATGTACCGGCTGTGCTTTTATGAAAGTCTTTAAAGAAATAGTTGCCATATTTGCAAGAAAGCTATAGAATTACATTACAGATTACACAACAACAAACGGTGCAAAAGCCAAGGAGACAACTGCTAATTGCATCATTACAGCTTCCTCAGATATCAGTTGCAAAGGCTGGTTGAACTTTACACCAAAAAATGATGTATTAAATTGGCTTGATTCAAATGTGTATATCATTTTACATGAATAAAATACATAACATCAACACAAATTTGTCTTTCAGTTTATCTACTTCTGGTCATGATTGTCAATGTTTTTTTTATTCACATGTGAATCAGGTAACTTTAATGCATTACCTTCTTCAGTGAACGATAAGGCCCGTCTGCAGAGCTTGTAAGAAAAATAGCAAGAAGATCTAACAGACCATCTTGGGATGCATCTTTGTTTCTCAGACAGTGGTGATAGATGCTTGTGTTGAGTCAGCAGTAACACGCTCCACATCTCCCTGGGAGACACCAGTGGTGACGTCAGGCGCTTTGTGGGCGAGATGTGAGAGAGAAAGCGGTCAGAAACTGCCCGCCTCTCTCTGAAGTGCTGGAATAGCACGGCTGTTGCTGTCTCATGACGGCGGTGAAGGCTAGCGCGATGACAGCCCAGCTTGTTGTTTGTTTCATATGTTGTATATGTGTGGGTTTTTCGTTTTCTAGCTCCTAGTTTTGGCAAGTGGCCCCTGAACAGTAGCTCTTACATGAGCTTAATGGTAATGCTGAAATCTCACATACAAAGCACACTATGTTTTTTTTCTTTTGTCTCTGATCTGCTTTATTATTTACCATCTTTACACTGTAAATCCAAATGTACATTTCTTAAAACATATTATTATTTTATCATTTTAATATTTTAAATGCATCACGGTGTTTGCGTGAACAAATCAGAGAAAGCTTGAATGAAAATCAAGTGTCACCAAAAAGTGTTTAGAACCTGAATGTTTGGATTTACAGTGTAGTTTCCTTTTATGTTGCTTTCCTATCATTTTCTCTTTTTCAAAATCCCTCTGCCTTTTGGAGCTTTCAGCGTTGCTGGGAAATCTGGCGCGGGCTGGTCTGGGACAGGTCCAGCTTTGCAACTGAGAGCGGTCACCCACAGTTTATCTCCTGTCCCCAGCCTCACGCTCCAGAGTGCCACAGCCAGGTTAAGTCATCTGCTCCCCAGCCCCTGGGACGGCCCAACCCATTCGCTTTCGCGCCTCTCAACAAGTGACACATTTTTTTGTTTTTCCCTCATCTGTTTGCCGAGGATCCGTGCCTAATGAAGTAAACTATCTTTCCGGTCTCCGTTGATTATGGAGGATTTGAGAGAAAAAGGTTGCACAATACGTGGATTAGGGCCGCTTCACAGCCAGAGCACTGCAGCCAGCACTGCGGGCAAAAAAGAGCTGATTAAAATGAAATCTCCACCATGGTGAATGTAAGCTGGCGAGTAAATCTCTAACATGGCCTCTCCTCGACCTCTTTGATTTGGTTTTTATATACGAACTAAAATGCGGTTTGTTTAGTCTTTCTGCATAATAGCTGTGCTATTTATGTCGGGTCCTGTGATTGCCTTCTGAAACACTTAGGAGATTAGATGCTTAACCCCTTCAACGGCTTTATTTGGCCCCACATTTCAGTAGCTCACTTGTAACTTCATAACTTCCATATTAGTTTCATAGTAGTTACCAAATAAATTATGCTAGTAAATAAAATGAATAATGAGGCTTAGACCATTAGTTAAGCAAAACATCAGAATAGTTTTTCCTTAACTCAAATGTAGTTGATCAACTAAGATGCGTCTGGTGTCTGGAGTTCTCTTCATTAGTTTTGCTAATGCAGGCTAATGTAGCTAACCAGTAATGGAAGTGTATAATGTTTCACTTAGCATTATGCAAACTGCATACCTAAAATGCCTTAAACCATATCAGGACATTAGTCTCAAAAAGACTTGCTGATGTGGTTTATGACAGTGCATGACATACTTTTATGAAAAGAATGATCAGGCTGATTGGCTATATTTGAGGTATTAGGATAAAATTGTGTAAATTTATGTATTTGTTATTTATTAATTTATTGTCAAACCATTGCTTTTAGGTTAATAAATGAATAATAATCTAAGAGTATAAGGGATTCAGAACTAGTAATGGCCTGATCAGGCATGCTATGTTATGTGTTTTCAGTGGATTCAATGTAGAGTTGGTGCTTGCTTTCCTGGACAACTCTCCAGCATCCTGACCTCTGTGCTGTTTGTTTTTCTGGGTTCTTCTCAGAAGCTTCTCACCCACACACAGCAGCCCCCATTGCTCCCCCACTGTCATTGCATTCCTATTACTGCCCACCTGATTTTGTGTGTGTGTGTGTTTTAACAGGTGCAGTACAGAGAGCTGAAACTGGATCCCAGTCACAGCCCAAATAAAAGAAAGAAAAATAACCCGGGGTAGCTCTCTTCCCTCTCTGATGGACTTCCCCAAACCAAACTTACGAACTTAGCACGCCAAGGAGAAAAGCACTGGTCTGGACCGGCTAGGTGTTCTGTCCTTCTTTCTTTCTTTCATTCTTTCTTTCTTTCATCAATCTTTTCTTTCTGTCTCTCTTTAATCCTCCATTCCTTGACAGTGTACAGTCCGAAGGAGTGCAAATGGTGAATGTGAAAAAGAGGAGCACTTTTAATTATTACCATGAGGGTTTCTGCCATACTTGTTTACTTTTTTGTGCAGAGGAGAGTGTGAAAAGCTCTTGACCCCTTTTAGAGTCATAGAGCCGGAGCTATTTGTCACTGGATGGCACTAGGCAGACGGCTCTAAAAGCCAAGGTGTCCTTCTAGCGCAGCAGAGGGAGTCTGGAGCGAACGGCTTCAGCCACAAATAGCAGGATCAGCTGATAATACACCCAACTGCACTGATACGTCTCATCTCTATCTTGTAGGGGAAATCTAGAGTTTGCACCCTGCAATTTCCACAGCACAGTGAGTGTTATACCCAAAGCCCTCCGCAGCTGTTAGGCAGCAGTTATTAGAGTTGTCAGCAAAGCCTGTTACAGTTCGATTTATGGCTGTAACTAAAGTGCTTGAAGAAAAAACACAACTTTCTGGCCCAGGAGCCAGTATTCATAAATCTTGGATATTTATTTTTTACATAATTCAGATGGTATAAATGATACATGCTCGGTTTATTTGTTATTAAATAAAAAACTGGCAATGTCAATATCAGTACTATCCATGTTAGTTTAAGGGGGGCATTTCACAAAGCAGCATTTCTCAGTAGCGCAAAAAAGTGAGAGTTGTCAAATACAAATCTGTATTAGCTCTTCTCATAAGAGACTCGCTTGACTTTAGCCTTAACCCTGAGACGTCTTGATTTATTACTTTCATTTTGCCATACTATTCAAATGTAGTTACATAATTATTACATAATTATTGCTTATTGAATTACTTGGTTTGTCATGTCTATTAATAATCTATTAATTACATATCATTCAGATCAAATTACAACATCATTTTTTATCACTGTTGATAACTGCATCTTCTAAGGGTTATGTTATCTGGATAGCTGAGAATTTGTGCTTTAAGAAACGTGAAAAAATCCATTTTGGTCACTGAGGATCAGTCTAGTCTAACTCTGCCCTCCTCCACAGTATCACTAGCCTTGCCCCCCACACCCTATGCTGCAGTGTGCGAGGTTTGCCACGAGGTGCCACCCTGCTAATATGAATGCGGGCGTGGTTAGATGGAATGGCGCGTGTGTGGCGGTTGAGCGCCATGCTAATTGCTAATCGTATTTGAGAAGCGTCTCCTTTCCTCTGACCTACACTGGCGCTGCTGCACCACCAAACCCCACCCGACTCCCACACAGCTCTCCACTTTGATCTCTCTCTCAAGACGGGCCACTGTGTGAGGAGGGAAGGCTAAACACTGAAAAAGAAGTAATGCATTGAATTTACCTGATTCAGTTGTGTCATTTCTACATGGATACAATATGTTTCAATACAGTTGTTGCAAAAAGTAAGTAAATCGAAAGAAAAAACTTTACTGATGTGATATAAATCATGTAAAACTGAATGAAGTAAATTCAGTGCTTTTTCAGTTGGGATGACATGGACTGAGAGAGAGCAAGTCTGAGCACTTTGCATGCCCCTCTACAGTGTTTACTATCCAAAATTCATGACAGGCAGCCTCACTTAGGCAAACAGCTCCGTGGTGTTTTTCATTGTGGGGAATAGTCTTCTTGACGAAAACATCGATAGTGTGTGACAAGCTGCTTCAGGGACTTGGCAGGGGTGCGGCGAGGGCAGGAGTTTAGCGCCGCTGCTGCTGGGGAAGGAAGAGGACTAGGAGGGCATGGTTTGCTCTTTTTGTTTCTCTTTTTGAACCTCTTCCTGTCATCCTTCTCTAAGTTCTGCACTCTCTCTGCCGTTTCCTCTCCTTCATCCATCCATCGGAGAGGGAGGTCACGACTTGGCCTGTGGGGGGAGCCTCTTGAGGGACCTCTGCAGAGCAAGTGTTGAAAGATCACAGCAAAAAAGTGCCATCAGAGGAGGCTTCCATTCTGCTCCAGTCCCTCTATGAGAAAAGAAGAAGAGGAAGACGAAAAAAAATCCCTTCTGGCTTCTCTTCTTTTTGTACGAACACATCTGTCATATGGAAAGCCCATTGATTTGTTTGAGAGCATTCCTTACAAAGACAACATGCTCCCCATTGACCAACTCACTGATGGTACTGATGTGATCCCCATTAAAAAAGAAGAACAACAACTCTTGAAGAACAGTTTGAAACTGCTGAAAAAGGACTCTTTTCTAAGCCTGAATGTGTATGTGCTGTTCAACTTTCTTTTAATTGTTCAGTGGATATATCGTGTGTGATTTTTGCATCCCAAAAAATAAGAAAGAAATCTGTTTTCTAAAGGCGTATATGCTATGTTTGCAAGCAAACCAAAGTGGAACTTTTTAACAATAAGAATAAAGACCAATATCAATGCAGAATGTAACATTTCCATCAAAGGCAAAAGGGAAAAAACGCACTTTGATTTGCACCGATTTTTGAAACTATTTATTTGAGCTTTGTTTTTAAACCGTGTAAATATTCTTCTTGTACATTATATATATGCTTGTAAATGGTCAGATGTTCATGATGTATAGTTGTATGTGCATCATTTTTTTTCTTGAAAATGTTTGAGCCTGCAGTGTTGCCTGTTCCATCATCATTAAGCTTCCAGCGATTGGATGAAGTGGGAATGAATGCAGGTGAAGGCAGACAACAGGAGAACAGCGCTGAAATATTTCAAATAAATGCACCAGATATTATGTCTGTTACTTTTGGAAAGAAAAACTATGGAGATTATTAAATATTTTTTATCATCTCTTGCTTTTGTATGAATAATCATTTCAAAAGGGGTTTGAGTCTGTTCACAATGCAGATTGAGCTTTTATTTTAAGTCTGTCCTTTTATATTGGTAATTGAGTATTGAATACACTAATTATTCACAGTAATCAGAGTGAAAAGGCCAGGCAATAACAAATGGACTCACCTGAACAATATCAACCAACTTACAAGTTGATTACAAGTGGCAGTGATGTTGAGGTCTGGCTTTTGGTGGTCAGTCCATTCTTCTGAGAACACCAGCAGCTGCTTAGTATGATTTCCTCGTTTTTAGTCCATCTGTTTTTCTCAGTAACAGCTTCTTGACAGCTACACATCCTTTCAGACCCATAGCAATGAGGTGTCTTCTCACAGGGGAAGGATGGACAGAAACACTTGTGAACTTTTGTTTGGAGCTTGATTTCCTGTTTCCTGTTTATCTGATGGTGAGAGTTTTGGTGGCCTTGCATTGTTGTTAGAAGTCCCATTTCCTCTGTATCTTCATATTTTAAACTCCAGTTTTGGAAACTCCTGTTTTTCCACCCGTTTTCTTTGACTTTCCTCTTCATTATGCATGTGGATTATCTTACATCAGAAAATGAATATAGTTGTTTTAACTGAAAACTATATAAACTGAAGAGTATTTTTTCTTTTACATAGTTCTGTGTGTATATAGACAGACAACTAGACATACTGCAAAGTCATGCAGTGAATGATACAGGTTCTGTCCATTCATATGTAGGTGGGCTCCTTCATGTTCTTGGTGGTTGCTCCACTGTAGACCAGCACACAGGTGTGTACAAAGTGTTTCTGCCTCCCACACATACACAAGCTTATCTGTCATCCCTGACTCCTTCATCCTCCATTAATCGTTCTGCCGCCCTGCCATGTTTGCGGTGTGTGTGCCTCTCTCCAGCTGGGCCTCCAATTCCCACCAAAGCAAGCAGGCGTGTGTCTTTGATGCAAACACGGAGGCTACACATCAACCACTCACAGAGTGATCGAGGGTCTGCTCGTTTCATCTGAAGGGGCCAGAGGGTCTCCCCCAATCATTTATTAGTCTGGCCGTCCCTGCGCTGTCTGATCCCTGCTGTTATTCAATATGAGAGCAGAGCATCACGCACTGCGCCTCACTACAAACACCAGCGCAGCCACACACTAATAATTACCTCTACAGCACAGAAGAGGGATCGTTATGAATTGGTCCATCGCTCTTGCACTGTCGTGTGGGTACAAGCTTTAATCCAGTGGTGTCTTACCTCGCCACACTGATCCCTCGTCACCCCCCAAACCTGCATCAGGAAGTCGGTCATCCTTCATGCAGATTAGGGTGAGGTTCACTTTCCCCCTTGTTTTTTTACCCAAAGGCCAGTGCTGGGATTAAATATGTGAAAAGGTCTGATGGTGAAGCCCACCTGGCACACAGATGAGCCTGGTCTATCTCTGTGCTGCATTGCAAGGCTTGGATAAGAATTGTCCACTATGGTGGGCCCCATTCAGGAGAGATGGGCAATAATTATGACACCAGTTCTAATGCTGATACTTTAAAAATACTTCTTGGACATAAAAAAGGACATTTTTGACAAAGTGAAAACCAGTAAATGTGGACAAGAAAGTGTTCTCAAGTCTTTTTATTAGTATTAAATAAATTGCCAAAGACCACATAATTTAGTAGAGTGAAATAATTTAGTTACTGCCTCAATAAAACACTGGATGTCAGTATTTTTACATGAGAACTGAGTTATAAAGAGAATCATTAGAATTGGAAATATCAATACATCACTATCAGTCTGCCCTCCCTACCATTAGGCACAGGACTGGTCGTGGAGCTGGACATGAGGCTCCACATGCAATGCACTAGTGTAGAGGGGAGTGAAAGGCTCACACACTCCAAGCATGGGGAAGGACCCATTTTAATATTTTTAATTAATTAAGTCACTTTCATCCTATTGATCTTTGCTGTCCATCAGAAATTACTTACCCAAAGTCCATTATAGGCACTGTACTGTACTGGACAACATACTGGTCATTTCCAGGTTGTGAAAGGAAGAGTTTCGGTGAATGGGCCACTGTCCCAGTGCTGTTTTTAACATGGCGTCACAGACTTCACCTCATGACAAAGTGTGGAGCACCTTCATTGCAGAAGTGGCCACTCGCTGGACAAGGGGAAGAGGGGACAGCCAGGAGCAAATTTTTCAGTAGGAATACACTTGCCCTAGGCTAGGCTATCCAAAGTGAGCTAATTATCTAGATAAGTAAATCACAATGCAAACCAATTTTTGAGACGTCTGTGCAGAATTTACATAAACTTTGTCTGGCTTAAGCTTCAGGTGTCTGCCCTTTTTGTTTTGTCACTGCTAACCATGTAGCCTTTAGCTTACTACCTAGCAAGCTAGCAGACAACACACAAGTCCAGTTTGAATGTAGCAGTTAGTATAGTATAAGTGTTTTGAAACATTTTAATGCTATTGCTCTTATACAGCTTTATCTGATTTTTTTTCAGGTTTGAAAATTGAATTACATCACAATGCAATGATTTCTGGGCAGGTTCTGCTGCTCGAGGTTATATTTATATTGACTCAATTCCAATCCCCTTCAACTGGTCATCTAACATTTAACTTCATGTGGGCAAATACAGTAATGTACTAAACGTGGCATCAGGGATACCCCCACGAGACAATTGTGAGGGCAGGTGGACAACGGCATGTCAAAAACAGTGCAGAGCTTAGGACTAAACTAAGCTTGTCCTCAACCTTTCCATAAACACAAACACTGAGGCCAAAGATCAGATCACAAAGATGGTACACTTTCATAAGTAATGCCTACTCAATGGCTGTTGTGCCGTGGCATAGGATACAATTTGTCAACTGATTCTAAATCAGCTCCTGCTTTCAGAATGTACCCAAACCCATCAACAGACACTGCTTTTAATGCAGCAGCCTGTTTAACAACAGAGCAATATCTTAATGCCTAGAGCATTTTGCCAAACTGAAAGAATAAGAAATGTTTAAACTTATTGCAACTTTATTTACTTATATTACAAAACATATAAAAGATATAACAAAACAAGTAAACAGGTCAGTTGTTTGGAGCCTTATGTGCAAAAGTGAGGGAGTAGTGTTTGATGCCCAGAATTTTCAAGTTCAATTTGGAATTGTTGTATTAGAATCTACTCTATATAATAATAATAATAATAATAATAATAATAATAATAATAATAATAATAACAACAACAACAACAACAACAACAATCATCATCATCCTCATCATCATCCTCATTATTAGTTACAGTTCAGACTGTCCGTTCAGCAGTGCAACCCCATCAGCCTGCAGATCCTTCAGCAGCTGCACAAACACACTAGTGTGTGGCCCCTGGCAGTGCATTAGCGCAGGGTTAACCTGCAGCACATACTGCTCCATACTCATCAGAGTCCTCAGATCTTCAGCCAGGGACACTGCCCCTGAGTCTCCCCAGCTGGAGGCTACTGTCTCTGGGCTTGTGGTGATTAGTGCCTGAGCTATGGAGGGAGAGAGTTCCAGTGGTGGATCTAGAGCTTCATACGAGGGTATGTGGTGCTCCAGGAGGTAGGAGACGAGGAGGCAGCTAAGCAAGCATGAACAGGCCTCTATGAAGGCCAGATCTCTAACCTCTGAGCACTGGACCTCCAGGGCAGAGTCTGCCTCCTGTGCACAGCGCTGGAGCTCCTCACGCAGAGCCGAAGACACCAGGTCCAGTGGTGTGCGACCAAAATCATCACGCAAATGCAGCAGTGACGAACCTGCAAGACACACACAAGGTTAACTGGGAGGTTAGTGAAAGGGCATAATACAACCTGACAACACACCAGTCATTTAGCTAGGGTTGTCCTGATCAAGTTTTTTTTTTCCCCTTTTAAATAGTGAGTATCTCGAGATTCACGATACTCAAAAAGTCTGCTGGTTGGTATGAATACATTTTCTCTCATTAATATTACTTAACAAATATAGGTAACTGAGAGAAACTGAGTCAATTGTGTTGTTTCAGTCAAATACAGTGAGCTGTCAGATTTACATAAGTGTGTGTTTGGTCAGTGTAACACTCATCTTTCCCATCAGCTCCTGGCATCAGCTATTTGCATATTGTTTTACCTACCCTTTAAATGTTAAATCTTTGTTTGACTCCTTGATTAACCGTCTTGTTGGCTGTAAGAGTGAGTTTCAATGTACTCTGCTGCAAAGTATGTTTCTATGACAGCTGAGTAGCAAAGTAAAAACTAAATTACATCGATCCAACATAAACCCATCATTTTCTCCTTGCTTCTTCCATTAGTTGAACATGACAAAATTTACAATACGTACAAATGATGCGTCATTTACTTAAATCAATAGAGTAACCAATCAAGTAGCATAGAAGCAACTCAAAACAGTGTCCTGGAACCACCTGACAACATTTTTAAGTAAATTTAATGTTATACTCTGCATTGTCTGTATTGTAAGTCATTCTCCCACCAACATACACTTTATCTCTCATTCTGGCCTATATATATATATATATATAGTATATATATATATATATTTTTTATATATATAAATAAATAAATAAATAAAGGCATTATAAATCTGACCCAATACACTGGTGTTAGTAACACCAATTTGATTTTGTCAAGATATGCTAGACTACTAATTATTTTTAAAAGCTTCAGTTACACTTTCATACTGTTACCACTAATTGTTTCATAGCTGGATAGTAACATTTATTACATGTGGTAAGTTGACTCTGCAGATATTACAGATGGCTATTGGGACATTTTTTTTTTTCCTCACTTAAAAATAGTGACACAGTGCTTGCTACCTTCAGAAAATGTGTCTCTATTGTCTGTTTATGTTACTTTTACAACTGTGGTGTAAACAGTACAGTGGGGTAAATAAGTATTTAAAAAAGGACAGGAATGTGATCAGGCCTAAAAAATCCATTAAAATTATTGTCCATTATGACTTGATCACCTCCAATTCTGATCCTTCAGATTGCATCGACAATAGCAACATATCGTGAAAGCTGTGTGTCTCTACGCATACTGATTTATGTATCTCAATGACCATGTTCAGACAAATTAGATTGACAGCTATTACCCTGTAACGGTTCAATGTTTATTCAGTACACTGTCGATTAATGCAAGTAAGTTGCATTTATCTTTGGCTTCGAGCAGATGAATTATGAAATAAGGCTGAAAAAAAGCAGCAGGGTTCAAACAGGGAACACCATGTACACACAATTATCTGCGTTCCACTAGTCCCTTAAAGCAACGTTAGGCCATCAGCTCACTCCACTGATAACCTGTTCTGACACAATTAAATGACAACATATGGATGTTCTAGTCTGAACCTGTTAGTGACGAGTCACACACTGTAAATTAGCCAAACAGTGCGCTATGCTGATGCTTCCTATGCTTTAATTCTGTAATCCCTTACGTCATATAAGTTAAAATACCAGTGGTGTATAATTTCATAGTGCACATGCCATAAGCTAGTCTTTTAAGAGCTATTTATGGCTAAATGGTGCAACTACAGTTAAAGGTTCAGTAAAACCCTTTTTAATGTAACGTTTAAGCAGTCCAGTAATATTCCATGTTATTTTATTAAGTCTGTGATTCGTCACGAGAAAAAAAATGACTTAATGTGAATGAAACAGACACAGGCTTAAATTCTTTTTTTTAAACCTCTCAAACATCTCAAAATATGGATGGTGGATGGTCCCCAATTGCCGAACATGACCTGCTTTAAAAGTGTGTATGAAACAAAATGTTTTGTAATTATCATGTAAGCATGGTATGCCATTGTTTGATGCCCTGTATTTAAAATAAAGGGATCACTAAAATATCTGAAAATCCAAAAAAGGGTGGAATGGTTAATATATGGAATATAATAATATATGGTTTTTGCTGAAAGATGTTCATTTGTATCATAAAGTACTTCATACTACAAAAAGAAGCAACTATTAAGAGACAGGTGTTTTGTTACACACTCATTTCTGTTGAAAGGAAATCTAAAGAACTAGATTGGAGCATTTATAGCTATGGTACATTTTATAAAAACACTTTTTGAACAGCTATCCAGACAAGTCGATAAGCGCTGGATCTTAGGTGCTCTCATAGAAATCAGCACTCCTCTGATGACCCGTTTAGCCATCATTCTCGTTCAGATACGGTATTCCGGTTCACGCAAACGCTACGTAACATTTGAAGACTATTCGCGTTACACAAAGGGGCCAGTGGAAATTGGTCGAGTTCACACTGAATAGCTTTGACATTCTCTCTCGTCTCCGCACATTTCTGTCTCTGGCTGGAATCAAAAGCCGTTTAAAAGTAGCTCAATAGGCAGACAGACATGCGTGCACAAAAGCCTAGCTAGACTGGCCCGTGTCAAGTGCGACCTCTTTCTTTGCTTTTAGCCACCATATTTCTACAGCAAACTGCACATGATGGCACTTGACTCCTAAACCCCTTTGCGAGCGTGGCAGCAGCTCTGCACTTTACCGCACTCCAGCTTCACAACGCTTTCCATTTGGCACCGATGCTTAAGAGACCTCCTGCTGTCAAAAGCCAGTATGATTGTTTTGTACGTGCGAGGAAAAAGACCAGGTTTTCAGCTTCAAATTATTACGCAAGGAGAGACCTGCGGGACCTGGTAAACAACCGTTTCTTTTTCAGCCTGTTCTTTCTTGTTCTTTCTCCCCCCATCACTTCTTCTTAGTAATGGATCATCAGCTTCTATGCTATCAAAGTGCAGACATGAGGGTCAGTGTTCATCTACCCTTAGCACTCCACGTGCCAAGAGGGCAGAGGCAATCTGCATACCCTGACAGAGGAATCAACCCACCGTCAGATTAAGAAGGGGGTTTCCAGAGTAAAGGTCGGCATCAGAACAACGGTTAAAGCTTTAATGACTTTGATCAAGACATAGAGAACGCAAGAAAGAACAAGAATGTCTACATAACTGGTCATTGATAAGACGTTTCTATTGCCAAGATGTAACTTGATAAGAATAAGGTCAAAGATTAAGGTTCTTCAAATGCCGTGTTTAACAAGCTTTAAGAAGAGATACAGTTTTAGAATTTTTTGAATGTTAGAAGACGACACTGATTAACTACATGGTGGAATAAAGAAACCTACAAGTTCCTCATACTTGCTTCTTAGGTTTACATCTCATGTAAGAAGCTTATAAAGGTTATTTCCATGATGCTATACTATCTGAATGGAATCATGTATTTACACATTTAGTTACATGGTAACAAACCTTTGTATCTGTAAAACGCACCTGTTTTGATTGATTTCAATGAGAACAATGTGTTGATGGATTCAGACACCAAAGCACTGCAATGATTTGTGGCAGTGAGTGAAAATTTTGCTTCACTCTCTATTGAAAAGCTTCTCCAGAGTTGAAACTTTAACAGAGCATATGCTGACACAATGGTGCTTCAGCCAGTAGGAGAAGGCATGGGGTGGGGCTTCTGTCCCTCACGCAGATGTTAAGCAATATGGAGGTACCGCTGAAACCAGTCGTTATCCCGCCACAGCTCTTGGGACAAGGCAGTGGTATTTTCCAAGTTGCGTCTTGGACTGATTTATAGTTTGTACCCGCACATGTCCTTTTTGCTTCCTTCTTTGGAGAAGAACTGCTGCTTCCAGCATTTTTCTCTTACAAGGTTTCAATGTTCGAGTCTCCTGCTCACACGATTCCTGGTCATGTGGGGAAAAGCATAAATCTCTGACCACAAACACGATACCAATGCTTGCTTTGATGGACACAATTTTCCATCTGAACGTGGCCGAATGCTGCGATATACAGAATGTAAACTGAATGGAAATGTATCTTCAGGCTCAAGTTTTGACTTTTTCCTGTTTTTTTGTCCCCGTTTCTCGCAACGCCAAAATGTGGCAAAAATGTCAATGACAGCTTTTCATTAAATTCAAAACTTACTCACAGACATGGTTTTAAAAGTTTAGAATCATCATTTTCAACAGCACTTCTTCAGTTGTTTCAGTAAGCTGAGGTTGAAATTGAGTTTAAATTCCTTTAATTTATATTAAAATTAACTGTACATCTCTCTGTCTGCATTGCTATCAAACAGAAATGGATGCCCTCCATGAATTAGCATGCACGTGCAAAAATGCTAAATTTTTAAAATACAAACAGGAAAAACTATGTCAGAATGTCAGAATTGTTTTTGGGATTCTAATGAAACAGTCCTACACTCTTGCCACAATAGAGCCTCTTTTGGTTCCATAAAGCACCCTGTTTGAAAAAGAGTTTTGAGAGTGGGAAGAATCTTTCAGAGGTTTAAAAGAACCTTCACATATAATAAAGGTTCTACATTGATTTAGGAGTTCCTCCCTTTACATTATGTTGAAGTTCTTTCATCTTTAAAAATCTCCTTCTCTCTCCCTCCATTAACAAAAATGGTTCTTCCAAAGAACCATCCACTGGAATGTTTTTAGGGAACCAAAAGTGGTTCTTCTACAGTATCATACCAAGAACCCCTTTTTGCACTTTTATTTTCACTTTAAGTAGTCCAACTGTATTATAACTTTAATTTCTATCATTTATTCCAAGAGTCATCTGCCTGCAGCTGTCTTCTAATCAATCTCAGAGTTACCTGAAAAGCTTTCTGCACGCCTGCTATTGCACGGACGCATGTCAATACAGCCCCTGTGCAGAGTTTTACAGGATGCAATGGATTTGAGGATCAGCAAAATCTGCATGACAGCTGTGTTGTTGCTCACTATCTGGGCCAACTGTTGCG